TTGAAATTGACGTATTGTTCGATATTCAATGCCCTAGCACTAAGTTAATCCCACGAGTGCATAAAAGATTGACATAACTGCTATAATGAATGGTAATACTCAGCGTAAACTTGTTATGTCAGGCATAAAGTACTAAACCCACGAATTTAAAAATGCTTCGTAAATTCGTGGGTTTAGTACTTTATGCCTGACATAACAAGTTTACGCTGAGTATTACCATTCATTATAGCAGTTATGTCAATCTTTTATGCACTCGTGGGATTAACTTAGTGCTAGGGCATTGAATATCGAACAATACGTCAATTTCAATGATTTTGGGTTTTTTTGAGACACCCTGTAGATATATAGATAAATATAATTACTGACGGTCATAATAACCTATTGTTTTCTCTCTGCATTATATCAGCGAATGTCGAGAAGTTTTAGCGTTCTTCTGAAAAACGGGAGCGGTCTTTTTTGATTGTAGGGAAATTCCCAGGGGTAAATGTTTATACGGGCTAAAATAGCACACAGCATTATTAAAAATAATGCAGCGTGCACACAGCATTATTAAAAATAATGCAGCGTGCACACAGCATTATTAAAAATAATGCAGCGTGCACACAGCATTATTAAAAATAATGCAGCGTGCACACAGCATTATTAAAAATAATGCAGCGTGTATCAGTGCACACAGACATTATTCGCAATCCTTCGTCATCCTGATAAGTACACGCGATAACGTGAACATCTCAAGATGAGAAGTTGACAGTGCTAAAGGCCCCTCATACAATATCATCGGGCGCCTGAAGCACTGCCAAAACGGTCGCTGTGAGTCCTTTCAGCTCAACTTTATAGAGAAATAGGCAGCGTTTACACTGTACCGTTTTCGTAGCGTTCTCGTATTGTTCTTAATCCTCAAGGGAACGCAAGACAATAGTCTAGTTCTCTCGAACAATACGAGAACGCTACGAAAACGGTACAGTGTAAACGCTGCCATAGTTTCGTTTGCGCTTGTGGGATTTTATCCTAGATATACGCATGTGCAGAACACACCATAAGTTCTATTCCCGTGTTTATCCAGTTTAACACGCCTTTGAATTAACCTTATCATTAATGATAATATGTAAACTAGAACACTATAATTGACTGCAATATAACTGCAATATATCGAATAATGCCGTTGGCCTCAGTAATTATCTATTAAAGATTTCACACCCGAAAAGCTATGACAAGTTAAGTTATTTTTCACCCTGCTCGGTTTCCTTTGTTCTTGTCGGGGAATATATTCAATATTCCCCTCTAATCAATTTCCGTTTAATAATCCCCTCTAATATTCACCTGCAATTAATAATCCCTCTAATATTCACCTGCAATGTCTTTGCAGCACAAAAAATGAGAAAAAAACAACATCGCGAAGGCAATATGGCATCAAGAATTATTTCTTTTCTGACTCATTAACGCGACCTCGCAGTGTGAAAAATAAGTACGTTATTTTGAGGCACCTCGGGGATATGTGTTTATTCACCTCGGCGCTGCGCGCCTCGGTGAATAAATCACATATCCCCTCGTTGCCTCAAAATAACCTATACTTAACTATAGTTCATGCGAAAATCAACCAGGCAGAATCGTGTATTTTAGGTTAACTAACATTTAACTAGAAAATAGCAGTTATATATAAAGTAATTAAGAGTTTTATACAACCGGTCCCAAGTAGTACATACATGCAAACACAAATTACGGTAGCTTATTGTACAATATCTGGAATATTCCTCACCTGTATCCGGTTTTAATTTAAGCCAGACTTGAGCTCATCCACAGACCACATTCCAAGAAACGGACTTGTTCGCCAATTCACTGCATAGAACTATTCCAGGACATCAAAGCAATGTTCTGTGTATAAACATGTCCCTGAAAGACTTTGATACAATCTGCTGAATACGAGATAAGTTAAACACAAAATGAAAACAAAACAAACAGGTATTTCGACGGGTTTTGTAAATAAACACTGCAGGATAAACGTTCACGATAACGTATTTGCGCACGCGTTTACACGAATCTGAGAGAATTCGGAACCATATATACATATAGGATCTGTGTGGTTGTGCTTTCCGCGAACGATATTATTCGCACAGTTTCTTCTTGTACAGGGTGTATCAAAAAAAGGTAATCGAACTTCAGAGCGCTTTGCGTATGAACGTTTTTTTTCACATTCGGAAAGATCATGCTTTTAGCTGTTGAATGATATCTTCTTCATGCCAAATGGATACAAAATGAGCAAATACGAATCCGATAAAAAATGTTAGTCAGAATCGCATATTTTCACCGTTGAGAGTTGGGTCTAAAACCATTGAAAATGAACCCCCTTTAGGACTTAAGTTGATGAATTTCCGACTTCATTAAACTGCACACATATTCATAATTATTATTTAAGTAGGAATAAATCGTAGCTAAGCTACGACACGTTCGTGATTAATTGCTTTTTCTTTTGTTATGCATAGAGGTGAAAATATGCGATTTTGACTAACATTTTTAATCGGCCTCGTACATGCTTATTTTCTCTCCATCTGGTATGAAAAGCATGTCATTCAATAGCTAAAAGCCTGATCTTTCCGAATATGAAAACCAATTGTTCACACGGCGAGTGATTCACGTATAATAGCGCGCTGAAGTTCGATTACCTTTTTTTTTTATACACCCTGTATATATCAGCCCTTTTATATAGCTGGGAAGGTCACATGAGTTATATGAATTTTTTATATCCCGCCTGCGTGGAACCGCAAAATGATTTAAAACATATGGCGTCTTTAATAGACAATTAAATAGACATTATAGATTAATTTTAAAACTAGGCAAGGAGATGCGAATATGAAGTCACCACAGCTAGAAAGAGCATACTAAAATGTTTAAAATGCAAAGTTTGGTTGCGAAATGTTGCCGGTAAAATCGGAAAATATAGCCTTGCAAAGTTTGCAAATTTTGTATACTTCTTCGGCCCAAATGTGGTAGCAATTTCCGCACGCAAATACAAAAGTATACAAAATTTGGCGAACTTTGCAAAGCTATATTTTCCGCATTTTACAACATTTCGTAACCAAACTTTGTAATTTTACTAATTTTGGTATGCTGTTTCCGGGAGTATACTTTTTGCCAAGATCAAAACTAGTCTATAATGGGAATTGCCTATTTAAATATGTTTTATTGTAATTGAACAAGCCTATATGATTAATATGAAGCGTGCATGTGGAAAAAATTATCCCGCTAGGTACTCGTGAGATCTTATACCTACACGAGTTTGACTAACGGTCGCGGGTCGCGTGTAAAAAGTCGCGTGTCGCGGGTAGAATGTCGCGGGTAAAATGTCGCGGGTCGTAAAAAAGCTCTAATCAGAAAATATGTTCTGAAAGAAACAAACAAGACTTTGGTAGAAATAAATTCAGTTTACCACCACCAATACAATCAGCTTAACTTTAATACCAATTTAAAAACAACCATATAGTATCACAAATAATAGATATATCCATGCTAGGACATTATAAAAGTACATTATGATTCACCAACAACCCTGACATTTAAGTCGCTGTTCTCTAGCACTTGTTTCTGGAAAGTACTGATCGATGCGCAGAGGCTTGACGACAACGCGCACTGAGCCACTGAATAGCGGATTTTTACGCCTGATATGGTAGAAATTGGATGGGAATATGTATTCCTAAAATCAGGACTATAAACATAGGAATGTGTAACAGGATCCTTTTGCACTACCGTCTATCAACGTGCTTTACAATAAGGGACCGGTCATTATTTATGGTGGGGGGTGGCACCGAAGAGAAATGTTTTTCCTGGTAAAAATTTTGCTGACCCAACCATTAAAAAGCAAAAAATTTGATTACCCAACCTCAAATATCAATTAAAAAATAATACCCACCCCTGGCCAAAACCTTTACAAAAGAATACCATTCAGTTGTCACACATGTCCTTTACCACTTCTGTGACACAAGTTTGATAACTAAACTTTCATGTTGTATGTACATGTACTTTCTTTGGAGACACCATTTGTCTCCCAACAAATCGGAAAATGATCAAGATAGTGACTCTGATTGATTCACATATTGTATTGACATATGACTGTTGACATTGCTTTTCAGTCTCCAATATTTAAGTGAGTCATGCTTTGGAAATGACAATAACTTTTTATTACCCAACCCTTGAGTTGTTTTGTTTTTCATTTACCAACCTTTTAGTTACTCAAAATTTAGTTTACCCAACCCTTTTCTCTTCGGTGCCACCCCCGCCATAAATAATGACCGCTCCCTAATGTTATATGGTTCTTGTCTATATTTATCTAGAAACTCGTAATTGCAGCCATAACATCTTCGAACAACTATTGATAAAACCATTAAATAACTAAATGTTAATATGATTTTTACACACTTTATTCAACCCGCGACTCAACAAAATACACGGTTTAGAGCTTTTTTACGACCCGCGACTTTTTACCCGCGACTTTTTACCCGCGACACGCGACCATTAGTCAAACTCTACCTACTACGGTAAAAATCTCACAACTTGTCAACAAGATGTGTTCGCAACAGGCTTGTAGCATGCAAGCTTGTCACTCGCAACTTGTTGACAAACTGTTGAAGATGCTGTAAAGTCCGTTCTGCGCAGGTCTATACATTCAAATGGTCGGGACCCGACCGTTGGAATGTTATTAATATTTCGCACCTTCCGAACTTTCTTGAATTGAATCTCTTGTGTGTATTCATTTACAAGCATAGCGAACCAGAAGAGTATTAAAAATTCAGTATAATATATATCTCATCATATTTTATACAACTGTAGCACTGAGTTCAAAATGTAAACAAAGCGTTTGTTTACATTTGGACTTTACAGCATCTTTAACAACCTTGTACTTGTAGCAAGTTGTCAGCCAAGCCGTTAACAACTTGTCAACAAGCAGTGCGAACACATCCTGATGACAAGTTGTTGGAACAGCATTGCTACAGGTCTGCTAGCCTGCGTGGCAGGCGGTATTTCTACAGGCAGCGAAAATTAGGGAGTCAAAGGAAATTTCCTAAGTACCGCCTGCCATGCAGGCTACAGGTCTGCAGCAAGTTTGTATACAACTTGCGCGTTTTTACGAATGTGTATCTCGTCCCTCACGTGAACAAAGACTGAATTTTATATGCGTTAACAAAGGGCTCATCTAGCTCCCAAATTTATCAGCTCCATATATGGACGGAGTCCGTTTAGAAACCAAAATTGGATTATTCAAGCCCTTTCGAGTTCAGTGAAATTTAATTATCGACAATGTTTCATTTCGTTACAATATATAAATCCAATTTGTAAGTATTTCATTGTCCATAGATTTTAAATATTTAACATTTACATATTATTTATTTATATAATTATTAACAGAAAAAATATATTATTTACTTTGCACGCAACACAAGTTCGTTAACCAACTCTTAGCATGTGAAAAAAATTAAGGTTGAAATTAAATATAAAGTGTAGTTTTTATTCTGAATGTATATTTTTATTTTTATTTAGAGATTTGGCAAGGTGGTTATAGGTTTATACCGTATTTCATTCGCTAAAAATCCGTACTTTTCGAAACGTCAGACATTACCGTCGTTTGTTTCCAAATGTTCGCGTTCTTTTCGTCGTCGCTCGGCTCAGAGTCGGTTCCTTGGGACGAAACAAATGATAATTTTGAAGCAAATGTCTTGCAATAGACACTTCGCGAATTTGACATATAATATCGATCCACTATAGTGTACATTACATGACGTAGGTGTGGTCAAGGAAGGCAGAAGTTTTATAATTTACCGATGCAAAATTCCTACTGTAATCACAGAAACTTTGACAGTGTAAACCAGGCTTCAGTCATGTCACTTACCGAAACTAGAAACGGCTGATTCAGCAGCATGTTTCACTTTAACCGTGTCGCATTTTGCCAGGAACGATAAATGTTCGCACGCTTCTCTACCCTGTGTACAAAAATAGATAAGAAAACTTCTTATTTCCTTCTATCTTTCTTACCCTCACTCTATCTTCATTCGTTCATGCATAGCTTCCACTCCTCTTTTTCTCAATTCCTTCTACAATACACCCTCCTTCCCTTCCTACCTCCCTTCTTCGTCCCTACCTTCCCCCATCCTTCCTTCCATCCTCCCTCCATCCCTTTCCCCCCTTCTTTCCTCCCTCATTTACTATCTCCCTCTCTCCCTTCCTCCTACCCTGCCCTCCTCCCTCCCTCCATCACTTATTTTCTCCCTTCCATCCTTCCTCCCCCATCTCTCCCTCCCTCCTTCCTTTCTCTTCCCTCCCTCCCTCCCTTCCTCCCTCCCTCTCTCTCTCCCTCCTTCCATCACTTCCTTCCTCGCCCCCATCTCTATCCCTCCTCATTCCCTTCCTCTTTCATGTACCCCCTCTTTAACACCAACCTCAAGTTTCTGTAAGGCACAACAAGCTCCAATTCGAAGATCTTCATCACCATCCTCCAAAGCTTCAATACAGTACGATACAGCCTGAATTGATTAAAGAGCAGATGTTTGAAAAATAATCCTGTTGGTAGCACATTGGATAGCATGCGTTCACCTCTGTTCACCTTCCAATTCTGTCATAGATTCTAATTCTAATTCTAATCACTTCTGTTACATGCGTGAAAAGTACTTCCAGTTTTGATTCTACTTAATAGTCTAGACAGAAATTACAGTATAGCGCTATCGAGTATAAATAAAGTTAGTCTAGTTGATGCAGAATGGAAAATCGTAATGCAATCTGGCATACCTGTGCTCTCCGATTGACGTCTTTTAAAAGAGTTTCGAAATAGACACCTAGAATTTCAAATTCAATTGAGCATGTATGTCCCATAAAGCAATGCACGAAGAATACAAAATTAATGCAAAAAAAAAAATGGTTTCCTACCTGCTGCGCCCGCAACTCTATAATCAGAATCGGTCAGCAGCCTAGCAGCAGATACACAACAACTCTGTTGAAATGGTATTTTATTGTACATCTGAAGCTGTGTTGGAAAAAATATAAAATTACGCACTATTGTATTATTTGATAAAAGCATAATTTATTAAAAGTTATAGATTATTAAAAAGATAGACAGATTTCCCGTTCTCGCCTTTTCGCATTCCTTCAATCCTCACATACACACACAAAAATCTCACATCTTGTAGCATGTCTGCCAACAAGCCGTCAAAAAGTTGAGTTCACACTGCTTGTCCCAAGTTGTCAACAATTTTGGAACAAGCTGTTAACAACTTGCAACAAGCTTCATGGCATTATCAGACTTGTTGCAAGGTTGTTCCAACAAATCCGATTTGTGTCGTCAACCTTGTAACATTCTTGTTATATCGTGACAGTATCATGGCGCTTTCCATTAACATGGCCAAACCGGTCAGAACGGTCAAATTGTTGAATGAAACACAAAACATTTGGGCGTCAGACCTATCTAACCGGAAAATTTTGATAACATTAGAATGAGGTCCATTTTCGCTAGACATTTGAGAAACATAGACCAGATCTTTCCTTTGATACTGAGAAAAGTATTCAGATCTGATCGGTCAGGCCATTGAATGGAAAGCGCCCTCAGACCTGTTAGAACAATCTTGTAACAAGTCTGATAATGCCATCAAGCTTGTTACAAGTTGTTAACAGCTTGTTCCAAACTTGTTACAACAACTGGGAACAAGCAGTGCGAACACAACTTGTCGACAGCTTGTGAACAAATTCGTAACAACTTGTTTGCAGACCTGTAACAACTTGTGCGGTTTAACTTTTAACGTGTGTACTTGATAATACTAACGTTTGAAAATGAACAGCAACTAACGACTGTATCATTGATTAAAAATCGCTTCTCTTTCCTTCGCTGAAGGAACATAATTTAGCTTACCTGTGTTAGAACAACTGCTTTTTCTTCGTTTATCAAACGAGCACATGTCAGTACTAGAGAGAAAACGAAAAAATAAAATCATGCACACTTAAAAATAATCGCGCGCTTTTTTATATTTTTTGTACCGGATAGGCAAATGAATGAAACACAATTCGATCCACGAGTTTTTGTGAGGACAAACTGTATAAACTATAAAAGCATCCAAGAACTTACATTCTTCGGCTACATCTTTGACAAACTGTGCAAGATTCCATCTGATACAAGAAGAAAAATACAACTTTACTAACGATAATAATAACTCGTAATCTAGGCAACTCCAAATTAGACTTTAGTTGCCCGTTCGGCCCGTATTCTTAGTCATGAATGTGAAATAATGGAAACAAGTTAAAAGGAGAATTATTATTATTATTATTGTCTTTATTAGGGTCCACTACAGTATATGTACAAAGTCTAATTATAAAGTCAATTATTCGGAGACCCTAAATGGGCGAGGCGCAAACGGGACTCGAAGAACCATGCAAGGCACCTGCCCAAACTTAGTAAAAATTTACTGTTCTAATTGAAAATCTATACTGTTCTAGTAAACCTCGGAGGTGCATACGCCTCATAAAAATCGAGGGTTAGTAAAACCCCCAGTTGCTTCCCACAATGCATTGTATTCCTATTTAATGAACGAACTGCGGGAAACAACTGGTACAAATCGTAAAATGCACCCACTCAAGGTTTACAAACTATATTATGCTGTGTTATGTTTATATCATATATCATATAATGGTATTCTTAAGTTAAACGTTTATTATTACATAATGTTAATAAACAGTTAGGACCTGTGGCAAGGACAGTCCCGAGTCAAAGACCACGTGCAAGACACGTCTGCGTCGTAAATAGAGTTAACTAAGTTTGAATATTTGTGCTTGAGATAACATTTAAAAGAACTAGGTCTAGAGAAACTGTCAAGAGATACTTCTTGAGATACAGTGTTCCAGATATTGACAATACGGTTGTAGTAGGAGGATTGAAAAGTGGTAGTTTTACACAGTGGGTTTTGAAGGATATACTCAGAGGAAAGACTCAATCGAGTACGACCATGGCTGACAAACGACACATAGTTATTCAAGTTCACGTTTATAAAACCAAATAAAGCTTTATCTATCGTAACTTAATGGTAGCAAGTTTAACGACGACAGCCGTTCTTTGTAAGGCTTATAGAATCTTTTGTATGTTACGTAACACGCGCTCAAAACTAATGAGTATACTTTTCCACTTGGATTAGCTATCTGTTTTTCGATACGTTTCTCAAGCGGCAAACAAACTTAAAAAGTATATGTTTAGTGTTTTATCTGTAAAATTCTGCTAAAATGAAGAGATTTTAGATAGTACGTCAAAGAGAAAATGATGTCTGAAGTTCAGTAAGTTTTGCTGATATTGCTGTATAAATGTGGCGTCAATTTTACAGTATCAATGATAATTGTATTTAAAAAAAATCATCAATAATTCACGAGGAAAATACAAAAGAAATGAATGTTTAATCAATGTTTGTAAATCGGATAAAGATTTGTCCTGATTTACATAAACTTCAGCTTTGATGATTCGCATCCGATCTGTATCTGATATACAAACTCGAGCTGCTGCTCATGATCGGCTGCTCATGTTTTATCTAGTACTTAAATTGACAATATTTAACTATTATTTAGTGTTTCTCAACTGCCAGATACATTTAAAAAGGTTGCTAATTGTAATTTACAAAATAAAGCTAAAACAAAGTAATTTTGAGAGGAACGCCAAAACGACTTTTGAACCAATATAAATGGCCAAATCATGCAGCCAAAACTTTCATCCAACATTCTTGGACTAAAAAAGCCGGACGATGTTGGATTCGACGAACACTACCTACATCTGACCCGCACGTGTAAAACAATGATTTCTTACCTATTGTCAATGAGGAAAAAATCTGTAAATTGGTATATAGATATGACTGAATCTTCATCATTATTTGGTTTAAGAATACTGTCATTTTCGTCCAGTATTCTCGTGGTGATCACTGGGTATACTGAAATACAGAAACAATGACATCAAGTTAATGTTAATATATATTCTACACACGAAAAACCGCACAAGTTGTTACAGGTCTGCAAACAAGTTGTTACAAATCTGTTCACAAGCTGTCGACAAACTGTGTTCGTACTGCTTGTTCCCAGTTGTTGGAACAAGTTTGGAACAAGCTGTTAACAACTTGTAACAAGCTTGATGGCATTATCAGGCTTGTTACAAGGTTGTTCTAACAGGTCTGATACAGTCATGATACAACAAGAATGTCACAAGGTTCACGACACAAGGTTGTAACAATATTGTTATATCATGACTGTATCGGACCTGTTGGAACAACCTTGCAACAAGTTTGATAATATCGTTGTTACAAGTTGTCAATGCTTGTTCCAAACTTGTTGACAACTTGGGACAAGCAGTGCGAACACAACTTGTTGACGGCTTGTTGGCAGACTTGCTACAAGACTTTTGAGCGTGTAGAGTTAAGCCTAAAAGCCATCAACTTACGTCGGTCGATTATGCGACTGTAGCTTTCATCAACTTGCGAATTGAACTGTTCTTTGAAAGCTTGCATGAAGTCTTTGCATTCGATAAAGAGGGGCTAAAGGAATTGAAACAATGTGTGACTGGATGACATAACGAACAGAACTGTTACCCAAATGGTAACTGAATGGTGACTGGAAGGCTCTCTTGTTAGGCAAAGTGTTATTCAAAGGGACATCTTACATTTTCTCCACAGTTTCCAGCCCAGAAGAGTAAGATCTCATCGTGGCCACTCGCTGCCAGTGGAGAGTATGCTGTATGAAATGAATGGGATATATTTTGCACTGAAATTCAAATTAAATGGATGATTCCCAAGGATGATTAAAGGATGATGGATGATTAAAGGGCCCACAGTAATTGGCATATGCTGTTGTGGTGACCCTGCCCTAGTTGGCAAAGCTAATTAAATAAATAAATAATTCCACCTGTAGACTAAATTTTGATCAAGGCAAGAAGAACAAAATCCAGCTAGAAGGGGCGTCTTAGGCTATGTGCACACAGGCGTCGTTTTGCAGCGTTTTCAAAAACGTTTTTGTCCGTAAAATCGTTTTGACGCCGTATTCGCACAGCCCAAAGGAAAATATCTCGGATATATTAAATAAACTACAACTTCTGTCGTAAATTGATAGTGTTTGTATCCGTTTTAGCGTGAAAACACAAATGAAAACGCTCGAAAACGTTACCGTGTGCACATAGTCTTAGAATGAGCAAAACAGCAAAGATTGGTTGCTAAATGTTGTAAAATGAAGAATATATATCCCCGTGAAGTTCGCAAATTTTGTATATATTTGTATTACGCGCGGTAAAAATAACCACTTTCGGCTCAAAAAATGATTATTTTTCCCGCGCGTACTGCAAATATATAAAAAATTTGCGAATTTCACAGGGCTATATTTTCCTCATTTTACAACAATTCGCAATCAAACTTTGCAATTTTACTCATTTTAAGATGATCTTTCCAGCTATGGTAATGGTGTCGTTTTTCTTGTCTAGATCAAAATTTCGCCTATAGCTCGAATCATCCATTGGACCACATTAAAACTTTACGTGTATTTTTGTTCTCGAAATATAGAGCAAATTGGTTATTCCATTTAATACCCCTCTCTCCTATCGAGAAACTTGGAATTCCTCAGGGGTAAAAGCAAATTTTACTAATGAATTCTTCAGGGGTAAAATGTAAATATTAAATACTATTAACAAAGAATTTTTTAACGGATCTCTTTTCCGACAGGAATTCTTCAGGTGCGGGGGTGCATCGTTTAAATGGAATAGCCCAACATAGTTTGGACTTCTGAAGATCCTAGAACTGTACGCGAAACAGCTGGTACTGAAGCAGTGACAAAGCCTTTGAAACACTGCATTCATAGTTACCTTTTGATATCGTATGCGGAGGTTGTTTACTGTAAACAAGCTCGATCAATTTATCCAGGATACCACATTGCCATTCCAGTTTTATGACAGCTGATGTTTCCTGTATGGGAAAGTTACATCTGCATTGATTATAAGCTGCATACTACCGACATTTTCAGTTTTGAACATTTGAAAGGTACTGTAGAGACGGTACTATTCTGACATGCTAAAACGAACATCAGTCATTCAAAGCTCGGCGAGCAGCTCCGATTACGATTAGAATTAGTATAATACGATTTTTTCTGTGTTGGTGTAATGTACTCAGGTGAATAAGATGCTTGTGTGATGTTACTTTGAGTGTATATCCACACCGGGCAAGCTTGAAGAATATGCCTGACCACAGTGGGAATCGAACCTACGACCTTTGGAATACTACCCCAATGCTCTGCCAACTGAGCTACACGGTCAGGTCGGTTCGAGTATGTCATATTTCGGAACAGAATCTAGTTCCTTCGATCACAAGCATCATATTCACCTGAGTACATTACACCAACACAGAAAAAAAATCATGATTACTGGATTACACTGATATCGAAGGAACTAGACTCAGTTCCGAAATATCACATACTCGAACCGACCTGACCGCGTAGCTCAGTTGGCACAACATTGGGCTAGTATTCCAAAGGTCGTATGTAGGTTCGATTCCCACCGTGGTCAGGCATATTTTTCAAGTATAATACGCTTACCTATAATTACATACTTAGCCTAGACTATTTTATCTTTACAGCAATTGTGATATTACTTTCTTAATAACTATGTTTATCCTAACCCACCCTGTCAACTTTCCCTGTGGGAGGAAACCAGAGCACCCGGAGAACACCCACGACATTCGGCAGAGCGTTGACAGACTCTTTTCACATGAGTCCGTAGCGAGAATCAAACCCACGAACTCAGAGGTGAAAGGAGCTTGCTTTGACGATTTGCCCTGAGTAAATGTGTCTTTTACCTCTAGGATGTGTATTTTCAGTTTACCTGCAGTTACAGTGAGAACATAGAGCTATCCAGTATTAATCCATTAAGTGGCAATGCGCCCTGACGCGCCCTACTTAATTATTTTACTCTGTCTAACGCCAGACGACTTTACTCGTCAAGGGGAAAATACTGCCATTCATTTGGGTTAAGATACAAAAGTAGTTGAAATTTTCCTCATTACCTTACATTTCAGCGGACCTATCGAACCGAAATCCTAGGAAAGAAGAACAGACAAATGAATTACAAATTTCTAAAGAATAATTTTTTCCCGAGCAATGTGGTTTTGCATTTGGTCGGTTTCGGCATTCTTGTAACTGTTGAGATAGTACGCCTTTTCCGGGGTTGGAAACGCCATCTTGCTGTGGGGCAATCACAACCTCATTCCCAGGCTCTTCCCTCTTAGTTTTAGGGATTACATTGTCTGCCTCGCTGATTCAAGGTACTGTTTCGTGTGTTCTACTGTTGCTCTGTTAAACTCTACTGCACGTGTTTGCCTCACTGGGGAAGATGGAAGAAAAATAACCATTGAAAGATGGTATACATAAGATTTATCTATTTAACACACGTTTTAGCTTACCTTTGTTAATCTGAGACAAAATTTCAGGTGTTGCTGTAGAACCTAAGCAACCACAACAAAAATTATTATTATTATACTGGACGATACTCAGACATTGCATAGCCTGGCCAGCAATATAAGTCAACATGTGTCCTTTAAGCCAGGCAATTCTACTCGGCGATATAATTCTACTAGCAATTCTGTCGGCGATTTTTCTCCTGGCAAATGTGATCGAATGACATGCAAAAGACTTAAAATTGTTTACCTCTGAAAAGCGACTCTATACTTTTGTGTGCAAGTTGACTCATTTTCATCCGTCGACAAAATTGCCAGTGTGAACCAGGCTTAATATGCACTCATGCATAAATTATACATGCACTTTTATAAGTACTTTTAAATACCAACCTTATCAATAATTATGATTCCCGTGGAACCCGCGGGCAGATCAGAACAATACGACTGTGTATCCGTTTCACAATCTGAAATTTTAAGAATTGTAAGAAAAAAGATACCCATGCACTCTCTGCTAAACTACATCTATATGTGATTTCAAGTTATACGGCACCCTGTGTATCTTATTTTGCCTGTTTTTGTATACTATTCATATAAATTGTCAATATATATTAATCTGTATTTACTGTCCTTTCATACCTTTTTGTCTGTTTCTCAATATGTGTTCTTTATGTATCTAACCTACAGTATGTACTTGCTTTGTGACCCTAGTTATTACGTATATAGTCGAATGTTTGACACTTTGTTTAATTATTATCTTGTGGTGTGTATTGTGTTGTTGTAACTTTTTAATGTAATCTATATCTATATATATTATTAGCGTAAGCCCCCTAGATGAGCATCTTGCTCTTGGGGCAAACGCGCGAATCTTTTTTTTTCGCATTAAATACGTTTAAAACATCTACTGTATACAGGGTGTCCCAAAAAAGTCCTCCTTTAGAAGTCACTCTTTTGTTGTTAAACGTGCGTTGTTATATAACCTCTGGGAATTTAAAATAGCTTCTAAAACGAACAGCAACACAAAAATGTCAAATTACAAATTCGTCTTACCCTCGAGTCAGAATGGTTCAACTGGCTACAACGAGTATTTGTCGAAACAACTCATACGTTAACGCAAAGTGTAACCGAAGAGTTAAATTATTTGGACGAAGGGAAGTTGTAAATACTTCCGCCGTTCATGTACAATGAAATTAAATTTCCAAAGGTATAATAACGCACAAGAGTGATTTCTAAGGGGGCTTTTTTGGAGACACCCAGTATATACCTGTTCCAATGTCTTGCGATGAAAGCAAGGATGGAGACTCTGTTTCATCCCTTCTTTCTTGATCTTGTTCTTCTATCTCTACTGCTTGCTCCAATGTTTGCTCTGCTGCTTGTTCCAATGTTTCTCCGTTAACCACTGGCGAAGGGTCACTCGGGGCGGCCTACAGGAACATAATAATAATAATAGAATAAAATAATAGGGGGGAAAGGGTTGGAACGAAAAATTATAATTTATTATAGAATTTTATATTCCCCCATTTCCGACTATTATATAGCCTCCCCCTTACCACTGTACCAGACCGTAATATTGGCGTACCTCCGGTACGTAAGTACGTGAATTATCGCACCCTGGACAGGCTGGACTACTACTGTCTGAAGGTTATATCACTACAGTTACTCACAGAGCTCACATACTATATACTTAACCTTCAACCTTACTTACCGCTGTTGTCTGGTCGGGTTTGGGTGTTTCATCAGTACTACTGAAGTATCTAGTGTCTAAAGGTTGTGTCACTACAGTTACATACAGAGCTCACTGGCTATGTATTCCACCTTACTTACCGCTGTTGTCTGGTCAGGTTTGGGTGTTTCATCAGTACTACTAAAGTATCTAGTGTCTAAAGATTGTGTCACTACAGTTACTTACAGAGCTCACTGGCTATGTATTCAAGCTTACTTACCGCTGTTGTCTGGTCAGGTTTGGGTGTTTCATCAGTACTACTGAAGTATCTAGTGTCTAAAGATTGTGTCACTACAGTTACTTACAGAGCTCACTGGCTATGTATTCAACCTTACTTACCGCTGTTGTCTGGTCGGGTTTGGGTGTTTCATCAGTACTACTGAAGTATCTAGTGTCTAAAGGTTGTGTCACTACAGTTACATACAGAGCTCACTGGCTATGTATTCCACCTTACTTACCGCTGTTGTCTGGTCAGGTTTGGGTGTTTCATCAGTACTACTAAAGTATCTAGTGTCTAAAGATTGTGTCACTACAGTTACTTACAGAGCTCACTGGCTATGTATTCAAGCTTACTTACCGCTGTTGTCTGGTCAGGTTTGGGTGTTTCATCAGTACTACTGAAGTATCTAGTGTCTAAAGATTGTGTCACTACAGTTACTTACAGAGCTCACTGGCTATGTATTCAAGCTTACTTACCGCTGTTGTCTGGTCAGGTTTGGGTGTTTCATCAGTACTACTGAAGTATCTAGTGTCTAAAGATTGTGTCACTACAGTTACTTACAGAGCTCACTGGCTATGTATTCAACCTTACTTACCGCTGTTGTCTGGTCAGGTTTCGGTGTTTCATCAGTACTACTGAAGTATCTAGTGTCTAAAGATTGTGTCACTACAGTTACTTACAGAGCTCACTGGCTATGTATTCAACCTTACTTACCGCTGTTGTCTGGTCAGGTTTCAGTGTTTCATCAGTACTACTGAAGTATCCCGTGTCCGAGGGTCTCAACTCATGATCGGGTTTCACTCCAACTTCAGTGAGGTCAAGAAAACTGAAACTGTCTAAAGCGCTTTCCACTGAACCAGAGAGGTTGGTTTTACGTAACTTTCCACCCTGGATATAAGCAGAGATATACATGAATAAGTGACGAGTAATATAAAATCAGGGGTCAGTTATACAGTCCCCCCAGAATAAAAATCGTATGCGACTATCGGGTGTCCCCCCAAAAACTGGACACTGTTTAATTTCATGTTACGTAAAAGCTATAAAAGCTATCGCAATGAAATAAAGATCATTGCATTCAGAAAGGACTAACTTAGTGTTTGACTGCGCTATTGATGTTTGAAAGTTGAACTACTGTTTTTGAAAATGCCAAAAATTAGCATAAAACAGCCAATTTTTATTGGGTTTTAGCCAATTACTAAAACGCATTCCAAATTCAAACAGCTATATCTCGCTCAATATTGCATGTAAATTCAAGTATTATATATCAAAATCTAAGTTAGTCCTTTTAGAATGCAATGTTCTAAATTTCATTGCGATAGTATTTATAGCTTGTACAGTGTCCAGTATTTTTTTGGGACACCCGCGGTAGTCGTACCATAAACCGACTTTTACTGGCGTAACTAACCTGTAATATTTCATCAAGCTTTTCCAGTTTTTCACACAACTCTTGAAGTTGCGGGTGTTGCTCTAAAATAAGCAGAACAGAAACTACTATAGCCATAACTAGTGGTTGACCGATGATCGGTATCGGCATCGGGCCGATTTTTGCCTTATCTGTAGACAAGCGGAATCGGTAGAATTATCTACTGTATTTCCGATTGTTGAGAAAATACACACTTTAAAAATTATACGCATTGCAACATTTGCACGTTGATACCATGGATAATAAAATAAATGGATATGAAACTTCTGACGTCATTGACTGCATCCTTGTTGAAAAACGTGACGTCACGCGTATTGCGAATGTTACCAAAGTTCTCAGCATTTTTGTTGTTTTGCTATATTTTCCACTTTAAAAGGGTGATCTTGAAGCGTAAACTGGTCTAATTGTTTTAAAAACATGCCTAAGCCACGACAAAGTATTCAAGGTAAATGTTTTTCGTCTTTGTTTTGTATTTTTTTACATTTGTAGCTACGAAATTGGCGTCACAAATTTTTGCGAAATTTGCGATGTATTTTTCACTGTTTAGTGCTTGAAATATTTGCTAAAATTGACTGGGAATACTTAGAGTTTTCATCGTAGAATGGCGTGGTTACATTTATTTGTTCTTTGACTAAAATGTTTAGCTGTATTATTGCTAAACATGCCGTTTTTGAGAATTTGATTTTCAACTAGGTTGAGGCATCCAACCACGCCATCAATCCCAGTAAAAACATTAGGTCACGTCAGCTAGTTTCATATCCATTTATTTTATTATCCATGATTATATCATTGGAATCGTATATGTTGTAAAATCATAACAAATATTTAATTTTAAACAGTATAATAGCCTGTGTTTTTTACCTAGCCCACATCTGTGTTAATTGTGCTATTTTGTACCTTTAAAATTAACTATATCCTTATTCTTTAGTTTCAAGGAAATTTCAAGGAAATTATGTATACAATCTAAGGAATTTAGAGAAATTTTGATGTCAAAAATGGGAAATTTTTATTTTGAAAATGGAAGCACTGATATATATATATATATATATATATATATATATATATATATATATATATATATATATATATATATATATTTAATTATTTAAATAAAGTACAAAACAAAACAAAACAAACAAGAGATATAGTGTCCAGCGGTGGACACGTTGACTTTGACGGTGCACAATAAAGTATTGAGCACTCTATAGGCCGGTTTACACGACGAGCGTTTTGGGCACGGCACCCCTGAAAATGGGCACCGTGCCAAAACCGCCACTTCGCTATTTACTCGTTTACACGACAACATTTTGTAAACACACTTTTATGATAGGCACCGTGCCCATCGGAAAACGGCACCTCTACTTTCCGTTTACGACGGTATATTTTAAAGAATAAATACGTCGGACAGAAATAGAATTATATATTTATATTTATTGGAACGAAGAAGAGTATTATATAAGCCGAAAATCGAGGGGAAAAAACAATTCAATACTAGAAAAGTAGCCAGCTCATATGGGCAAAAGTTATCCCGGTTAGCGAGAAAACTTTTCGACAAGTTTACAAACGAGATCTTGCCTTGGTATGAAAATAATATGAAAAGTTACACTGCGTTCATATGAGACAAAAAGTTTTCCCGTGTACCGAGATCTCGCTTGTTGAAAAGCCAGATCTCGGTGACCGGGATAATGTTTTTCCCATATGCAAGAACACAACTTTACCGCTTAGCGGGATAACTTTCTGTCGTATCAGCATCTTTTCAATTCAATTGATATTCAGTGCGTGCCCATCGGAAAACGGCACCTCTATTTTCCGTTTACGACGGTATATTTTAAAGAATAAATATGCCGGCCAGAAATAGAAATAGAATTATATATTTATATTTATTGGAACGAAGAAGAGTATTATATGAGTCGAAAATCAAGGGGAAAACCAATTCAATACTAAGAACGTACTTTAAGGGCCAGTTCATATGGGCAAAAGTTATCCTGGTTAGTGAAAAAACTTTTCGAAAAGTTTACAAGCGAGATCTCGCCTTGGTATAAAAATAATATGAAAAGTTAGTTTACACTGCGTTCATATAAGACAAAA